ATTAATAACATCTTGAAATTATTTTCTGAAGAATCAAATATACAGAAGTCATGGAAATTTTTCAACTCAAACATTGTCAAAACCTTAAACAAACTCGTCCCAAAAACAAAAATCCACAAAAATACTTCACAAATATTTAACAAAAAAGACATAATACTTCATAAAAAATTACAAACCATTAAATTTCATATCAACAACTTAATGACACTATTTCCTTATCCACTTGAGTACACAATATTAAAAAACCTTCAGGATCTTAAACTTCTACATATCAATAATAATGACCAAATCAACTCACTAAAAAAACTTTTCAAAATCACTTTTAAATTACTTAAAATTGAAAATAACTTATAAAGAAAAGAATTAATTGAAAAAACAATAAACCAACAAATAATGAATCTACAAGACAACTCAAAAATTATGATCAAACAAATACTAAATCATAAAAATCCTTACATCTCCTTTACAAAAATCATTAATCCTATTAATGAAGAAGTGATAACTGATTCTTTCCAAATCCATCAAATAATTACTAATCACTACAAAAAATTATTTCGCAAATGAATCATTATAATGAACTTCTATTCAAATAAGAAAAATATTACATGCCATTCAATGATATCAACCCTTCAATTTATGACACACTAATGCATCCAATTTTTAAATATGAAATTTTAGAAACTATCAATTCTCTTCCAAATAACAAAGCATCTGGTCCCTCCAAAATTATATATTTCTTTATAAAACAAATTCAAAAAACATTTATCCCACATCTTCACACAATTTACAATCAAATTCTATTCTTTTAGAAAGTTTCAACAAAATGAAAAAACTACTATATCTTTTTAATAAGCAAAAAACTCCAATAAAAATATAATATCCAAGAAACAAGACCAATTGCTTTCATTGATACATTTAGAAAAATCTTAACAAAAATCTTAACTAAACGACTCAGTTATATCTTAACAACACATAATGTTCTTCAAAAATCCAATTATATAGGTCTTCCAAATCAAAGTACTTTCGAGCCAATCCAAATCTTAAATTCAATTTACAATCCTAAAAAGCTTATATAAAAAGAATTATAAATTCTCTCACTTGATATTAGTGCAGCCTTTGACTCTATCAACCTTGATATACTCAAGTACTCAATGCAAAGACTACATATTCCAAACACCTTTATATTATTAACAAACAATATTCTCACAAATCACACATATCAAATAATTACAAACTTTGATTTTACTTAACAAATAATTATCCCTGATAGTATTGACCAAGGGAAAACTCTCTCTTCTCTTTGATAGATAATATTTTATGACTTACTGATTACTGCTTTAATGCAATAACAATCACAACTCAAACACAACACAATAGCCTATATGGATAATCTAAACCTTCTAACAACCTCAAAAACTGAAATTCAAAACAATCTCAATATTGCAACAGAATTCTTTCAACTAAATAATATTAAAGCCAATCCAACAAAATCAAACTAATTACAATTAACAGTAAAACAAGTAACAAAACAATTTTTCAAGGATCAATCCTATTCTTCTAACACAAAAAAAAGAACCAATAAGAATCTTAGGCATCTGGCTTTCTAAGCATAGCATTCTTTCCCCAATCGTAACAAAATACTTGAAGATACAGAAACAATTTCATGAGTACTCAAATCAAAATATACAATAGACCATATGGCTGCATACATCTATAACAAAATTCTCCTTCCACAAATAAAATTCAAATTACAAATTACCTTTTTCACTTTAAGTATGCTTAAAACTATTCAAAGGAAAATTAATACACCAATTAAGTACAAATTCAATATCGAAAAAACTCTTTTTCAAATTTAATTTTATAACTCACATATCTTTAATATCTTAGATCTACAATCAGAAGTCTTAATTTCCAATCTATAATATTCATTATCAAATTCCACTACAAAACCATCCAAAGACTTAAAAATCATCACCATACAAATTTAAAACCACCAACCATTCTGTATTTTTCAAAACCAACAAATTATTAAATATAATATTACAACTTATACAATTCAACTTGTCAAATACTATAATATTACATTCTATACTAAACCCAACTATTAATACATACTTCCTGAAGAAATTACTCCTATTTATCAACTTCTGTCACACCATAAAAAATGGCCAACCTTTGTAAACCAACTTACAAAAAAAAACATATTCTATATTAAATAACTACTAACATTCAAAAATAATAATATTACAAATTGGCAACATATTTCAGCCAGACTTGAATATAACACTTATAGAAAGATACCCCTTTGATACAAGCTATTATCACAACAATATTTTCAACAAATAGGAATAACACCAGTCAAACTAAATAAAAAAAGGAAATGATTAGCAACCCTAATTAATAATAAAATAATAATAGGAAAAAAACAAAAAATAAATAAAAACAATCTTCTTATTAATCATTGGTCCTACAACAACTCTGATCCTAATAGATTACTAATACTTTTTAAATACTTAGACTGCCCACTTAACATATATGCAAATAGTCACAAATGTCAACTTCTAGTCTCTCTAAACTCACCTAATCTCTTTACTAAACTATAATTTAATAATTCAACCAAAACAAAAATAACAAAAAATAATCTCCTCAATATATTGTCAACAAAACCATCTCTTAACAATTTACAAATACTAATCTACCAGGACCTTCTGGAATCACTAAAACAAAAATACATCTTAACAACATTACATCCAATCATCAACTCACTTTCTCAATATAACGATTCTCCTTTGGAAATACTTCTTACATACAAATACCAATTTAACTTAACAACTGTTACCTGAAACTTTATTTAATATAACAAATCCTTCTTAATAAACTTTAACTTGAATCCCTTACTATCATTACTACATACAATAATTATTGTCTTCCTCTATAACAATTCAAAAGATTATTACTTTTTTTTCAAACATTCAAAGCTTACCAATAAAATATTTGCACTACTACCTAACAACTACAGAGAAAAATATAAACTTCTCTACTTCGTTACCATTTCAAACATATATAATATAATTCAAACCTACAAATCTCATATATCTTCTACAAATCCAACTCTACAATTCTAAAAACACAATCAATAAACTCTTACCTTCTGCAAATTAATATAATAAACCCTTCACCAATTCAATATATACTAACAGACCTAAACAAAATCCTATTTTTTAATAAGACAATACTTCAAAAAAATAAACAAAACTATCTGATCTACAGAAATAATCTTCTTACAATGAGCAAAAACAACTTTCAATCTAGACCTTTTACTATTCACAAATATACTTAGCTTCTTAAAAATAATATTAATTTCAACTATATAATATCAATCAAAAATCTTTAATTTCTGTTTCAAAATTCTATTATATATACTTCTAATCAAATCATATCTTCATATCACCTCATTGCAAATCTATACAAATAATACTTGTCCACATTGCAATTTATTATTATAAACCATTCACCATTTCTAGCTATATAAAGAAAGTATATATATATCTGCTATTAAACAAATCCACAATGATATGTAAATTCTCCTTACTAAAAAATTTAAAAACAACAAAAATTTTAATATCAACTTTATAAACAAATTAATTAATATTACTATCTACTTAATAAACTTTACAATAGACACATTTCAATTCAAAAACTTGTTTAACAATTTAAAACTAAATTAACAGGATCTAAAATCTCTAAATGAATTACAAAATAAAATATTGGAACTTTTATATTTTCATGTTTGGATCCCAAGAAACAAAGAAATAATTGCAGAAGAAAAATTCCTCGACATTTTACAAAATATCAAACACAAAAAAAATAATAATAATAATAACTATAATAACAGCAAAACACAAAAAAATCTGAACAAACAATAATAAAACACAAAGAAAAATCTAACAAATACTAATACTTCAATATAAAAGAATAAACTAATCAATATTATACTTGCACTTTTTTCACAAAATTTATCTATATCCTTTCAGGATAAAATAAATTATTAAAGAAACATTAGCCTTCCAAGATTAGGTAGTTCTTTTCTTTTTTCTTGATCAAAGATTTTTTATCAGAAATATATCTAATATGGTGGTAGGCTGACATGTATAACAATATATCTCACATCTTAATATTGATTATGTATAAATATTATTCTATTTTACTCTATTAATAAAGATTATAAAAATGCCTTACTTAATATTTAAAAAAAATATATACAATATAAATTTAGGAACCAGATTTATAATAGTAACCAAAAGTATTTGGAATTTTTTTTAATATACAGTATTTAACTTAATAAAAACTTATTTAAATTAAATATAAATTTAAATATAAATACTTGAATATTATAAAATTATTTTTACTTATAACTAGTTTATAAATTATATTATAAAAATTTTTTTAATAATTATTTTTAAGTAAAATTTTATATATTAATTTTATAACTTGATTTTTATAAAATTAAACTTTTTATATATATGTTTATATATGTTTTTTTTGTGATAAAGAAGACAAAAATAATATTACTAATTAATATAAAAATATTTTAATTAAGATTATTTATTAAGATTAAAAGATTTATACTAATTTTTTTTGTATTTTTTAGATTAATATTTATTAAATAATAATATATTTTTTAATTTTTTCCAAAAACTTATGGGTACCACTGTATTTTTGGAATTTATATTGTATATATGTATCAATATAAATTTTCAGGATAATTATTCTGGTCTTTGAAAAGAATTATTCACATAATGTAAACAAAACCATATAAAGAAATTGGTAACACCACAAATGATTGTTGTCAGGAGATAACTCACCTGATTTCTGAGCAAACCGCTACCTCGGCGATCACATGCCCACACAATTTTTTCGCCATCACTTTGTTATTACATCGAACCATAAAAGTTCCTCGCGATAGTTATTACATCGAACCACAGTCATAATTTTACAAGATGTCCAATACTGACGAGATATATTCTGGCCGAACAGGCAAGCATGGTAATGAAATACTGGGAAAGATATTTTAGTTACTAATCATGTTTCGTTTCGATAGCTCTTTTAAATTATTTGGAAGAGACTGATCCCAGCCTTTGATCATACGTTATTTTTTGGAAGTAAATCGTACCCTTATCATCAATTCACCACCTTTCAGAGATCAGTGGAATACTTTCGATAGTACATGGAATAAGCGATTTGTACAAGCAGGAAAAGAGCTATTAGACGTAACATTAGGGGAAGCTTTTGAGCGTAAGGTAATTTCATTCCAGTAATTTCATTCTAGTTTAATTGCAGTAAGGGAACTACTTGACACGTGTCTACTTGTCTTGGAGCATCATGAGTCTTTCTGGCCCTAGTAATGGTATGGAAAACTCCTTGCCACGTGTTACTTGTCTTGGAGCATCATGAGTCTTCCTGGTTCCTACCATTGCGTTCTGCTCTGTTGTGTTTTTGGTTCGGTTTATTAAGGTGTTGAAACGACTAATTGTATACTCTAATTATATATTGTTATCTACATCTACTCTATTTAATAAGGTGAACCTGGAGCGATTTTATTTAAATTTAAATTCAAACTGAGTTTACAATAAATTGATTCCATCTCTATAAGTATGCATATGCCTTCAAAATCTAAACTTTAGATTTTTCAAGCCAATATTTTTCTTTCTCCTTATCTTTTATGGTCCCAATTCCGTCACGATAACAAATTCCAACATGATACTGTCCAGTAGCGTATCCACCCTCAGCAGATTTTAAGTACCACTGAAATGCTTTTTCGCAGTCTTGAGTGGTTCCATGTCCCTTTTCATAACAATATCCAATCCGCATTTGTCCAACGGCATTTCCACTTACACCAGATTTCAGGTACCACTGAAATGCTTTTTCGTAGTCTTGAGTGGTTCCAACTCCATATTGATAACAATATCCAATATTGGTTTGTCCAGAATAAAATCCACCTTCAGCAGATTTCAGGTACCACTGAAACGTTTTTTCGTAGTCTTTGATGGTTCCAATTCCATTATTATAACAATATCCAAGTCTATTTTGTCCAGCGGCATTTCCACCTTCAGCAGCTTTCAGGTACCACTGAAATGCTTTTTCGTAGTCTTGGATGGTTCCAATTCCATATTGATAACAATATCCAACATAACTTTGTCCTAGGGGATTTCCACTTTCACCAGATTTCAGGTACCACGAAAATGCCTTTTCGTAGTCTTTGATGGTTCCAATTCCCTGTCTATAACAACATGCAAGTCTATTTTGTCCAAAGGCATCTCCACTTTCAGCAGATTTCAGGTACCACTGAAATGCTTTTTCGTAGTCTTGGTTGGTCCCAATTCCTATTTGATAAAAAACTCCGAGAGTCATTGCATTTTGCGGGGTTTCTTGACAATTAACTAATAAATTAAAAATTTGTTCCGATGTTGCTTGATTGATCTTAATGAAATTGTTGATACAAGTCGTTACCACCGAAGAGAAACTACACCCTTTACTTATTTGATAGATAATAAGTTGATATAATATATTTAGTTTGGTTTCCTCAATAGTCTCGCTCTTTATCATAAGGCGGTTTTTGTTATCTAATGAGTTGATCAATTCTTTAACTTCGATTATTTCGGGCCTCTTGTCCGGATTTTCGTCCCAACAGGCTAATAAATTTAAAATATTAACCAGATAAATAAGACCATGCAAATATCATTAATGAAATACAGATCGTTTATTTCTTTATAACCTTCATAAATATCGACATATCCTTGAGGCGTTCCTATCATTCTCGTTTCTCTAAGACCCTCAGAAATTTGACGAATTAACGATGTGTCATATTTATTCGAACTAAAAGGTGGGTATCCACTTGTAAGCTCCCAGAGTAAAACTCCCAAGCTATAAATGTCTGACTTCTTATTGCTTTTATAACCAGATCCTATATTTGTTTCCTTAAAATATTGCGGATCAATATATGGTATAACTCCAAATGATGCATCCCTTAATTTCTTAGACAATTCCAAATCAGCTAGTTTTATGTTCCCATTACGGATAAGGATATTTCCTGGATGCTAAGAAATAAATCAGTAGATTAATTTATCACACGAATACGGTATATACTAAACTTCGAATTAATTATCAACCAAACCAATATGAATAATTCCTTTTTGTGTAGATGCAAAATCGCGCTTATAATTTGTTTAGCCATGCGTAATTGGTTATCCCAATTTAACAATTGAAAGTTCTCTTCAAGGTATTGTCGCAAAGTTCTATCTGCGTATTCAATAACCATTAGATATTCGTTTTTTTGAGGATCTGTATAATTGTTATGTTAGTCACGGCTTCTTATATAAATGTACTGTACACACTTACATAATGCTCATGTCCATCTTACCTTTCATAGAAATTCCATAAAGTTGTAAAATGTTATCATTCAAGTCAACATCTTGATACAACTTAAGCTACAGAGAAACTTTAAGTTAAGCATTGTTTATTATATTCTGTAATTACAACTACCCATATACTGTAATAAAATAAATGCCTCATTAAGAAATGCATTCGCTGTAGCCGCATCAATGATTTCAATTTTTTTAATTGCCACTGTTTTTTCAATATTCTTTAAAAAAGCTTTATATACTTTTCCAAAGCTACCTTTTCATATAGCTTTAATGCCCTCGAAGTCACTATATTCGAACCTTCTTAATGTTAATTCGTTTATAGAGTTTTCGAGTTCTTCAATCCATACATTTTTCGATTGCAAAATTTTTAATAGAGACATTTGAAAGCGTTTCAAAATGCTTGACTTGTATGAGCTAAATAAGTATTTCTATAGTTGCGCGGTATGCATTTGTCGCATAAATGAGTCTTTCAAAATACGAATTTGTATGACTTAAGATATTTATTTATAGTACTGATCAACCTTCGATAAATGAACTCACTCAATTTTTAAAACAAAAACGATAAAATCATCAGATAGATCTAAAGCCATTTCAACAAAGATGTAGCAATACAAATATAAAGTATTATTGTATAGAGGTAGCTTAGATTTCATATAAAAACATTTTATTAATAAAATCCTATTAAAATTTTTGCAATGACCATAAACACAGCTCAAGGTCAAACAATCTATAAAAAATTAATATTATCTAGATAGTAGCATATCAAATTATACAATTTAAAAAAAGCAAAAGAAATTTTTAAAGAAAAATAAAAAAATAAAATAAACTATTTCATGTTAATAATTATTTATATAACTTTTTATATTGCATTTTTTAGCTCATATAATACTAGAAAATCTAGAAATTCCTAAGGTCAACAGAACATTATTTCAATACTGTATTTTATAATAAATGCTTTCAAAAAGTTTGATTGA